ATATCGAAACTGGAGACAACAGACCAATGAGCAGACCTCAGGAGATGACGACTTTCCATATTTCCATATTTCCCTATTTTCTAAAGCAAAATAGAAACTCCAGCACGAGCAGTTCAGACTCTTCCACAATTGGGAAAAAAAATATCAGCGACGAAATCGAAATTAATAGGCCGCAGGACAGGAATTGCCGCCGACAACATGACGAGCATCCCGCACTATACCTTCGGACACCGGAATTTCGAATTCCGTAACCAGAATCTCGGAGATAAACAGCTTAACTGTAAACCCGCGGTCGACCCCCGAAGAACCGCCGCGTTTTTCCTCCGCTCCATCCCAGCACCGCCTGACCGCGGCCGGCCCCGAAGGGGTCGCCGTCCAAGAAAGCAAACCCGCTAAGGACTCCAAAAAAAAATCTGCTAAAAGTCTTCTCTAAAAAATCTCTTTTCCAGTTCAAAAGATGTAACTCCTGCCTCCCTTCCGTGCAACGGCTTAAGAAAACTCGGTTTACACTCACCAAGAAACGCCTCAAAATCCCTATTGGCTCAAACAACACTAAAATTAAAAATTTAACCAATCTTAAGGAAACTTCGACTTCCTCTAGCCAACTAGGGAAAAATGTAATAAATAGCCTCTGAAATTCTCAGAAATCCAGATATGTCAAAAATATCGCCGCCCCTTAGAACTATTCGCCTCTGAACGAGCAAAACACGTGTTTTCAACCCCCGCGAAAAGAGGAAAATTGAGCTGGACAGTGACTTCTAATCTCCAAAGAAGCCGACTCGTGAGAAACGGAAATACACCCGCGCCCTTTTAACTGTAACACATATTCTGGAAAACTTAAAGGAGCTTTGCCGCAAAGTTTAACAGTATTACATATTATAGATTAATTTTAAATCAGAACAATACAAATTCATTAATCGCAGTAAAATAATATAATAACTAAGAATACATTATGCACAGTAAAATAACACGCAATAATTATACACAACAAAAAATACCTAAGAATCTTCCATAACACACTGTTTTTATAGAGCTCAGAATAATGCAATCAGCACACATTAATATAAGTAAAGAATTTAATTATGATTAAAAAGTAAAAGCAAGGTCCAGTAAAATACCTCGCCCCCTTTTTTTGTTGTTGTTTTAGATCGAAAAGAAAACTTTATTCTTTTATAGATGTGTATCCATTTAGAAGTTAATAAAGAAGTCTGTGTTCTCCTTTCTACAACAGAAAGAAAAGAAAAAGTAAAATAAACTTATTCATATGTTCGGCCAAGCACTACAGTTCTCCAAGACTGTAGCAAGAACCTTAATTACTTCCAACATGTAGAACATCAGTTCCAGGAAATCTTCCAGTGGCGTCGAAGAACTATTTAATGTTCCGCAATAATCTCGGTAGTCCGGCTAGCACCAAACATGTAGCCTAGTCCTCTCGCCTTTTATATTCCACGCTCAATTCCATCTCCTGGTACGTGGCTCACGGCAATCAGCTTTGTAAGGAAATTCATGAAAGTTGCCATCCTGTGAAACTTTACAATTTAGCAGGTCAGATGTGTATCCAATCTCAACAACGTTAGCACAAGTTTTACCTTATTCCCAAGCAGGAACCAAGGAAAACTGACTACTAGCTACGCAAAACATAGTTCCCTAAAAGGAGTCCTGTCCCAATAGGGGCGCTCACTGCTAGAGAGGTCTCACTGCTTCTTCAAAGTGGGCGCATACGCTCCCCCGAAGGCAAGGTGAAATGGAAAGAATACTATTCTAGAAAGAATGTGATGGCAGAAGAAGGAAAGGAACACCTGACCTTCTACATTTTACAAAATATTTTCATGGTTTATTCTCCCTCTCTCTTTTTCTTTTTTTTTTCAAGCAAGAATGAACAAGAATAACTTCGAAGTACTGGTTCCCAAGCCTTTACCTAGGAAAATAAAAATTTAGCGAAATAAACTCCCCATTATTCATTGTTCTATGCTTCATTGTTAGAGGATAACACTTTTAGACATTGAGAAGCTTTCAGAGTACTAAATCAGACACAGCTTTGGGTACCAGATACTTAATGAACGGTAATAAGTATATGAATAAAATGTTTAACAAAATGGAGCTACCCATTTAGCTCGAAAATACAGTCATTCATCCGGTTCTTCAGAGCAAGAAACGCGAAACCTGCCGATATTTATCACCAGATATAAGTGTACTGTGGCCATGTACTAAATGCCTGTTAAGTGTGTCAGACTGATTATGAAATGGTTGGAAGAACGTCTTTGAGAGACTGTTTACGCTGAATAACTATCCCATTCTGCATTCTAAAAGAAGATGCTCAAGTTCATCGCCCATATCTTTATATAATGCACTGGAATAAGGCTGGATTTCAAAGGAAAGTGTTTTATAAAATTTATAATTTTACAGCATTTCCTATGCGTTTTACAGCATTTCCCGTATTAAATTTATAATTTTATATGCTCTTGCATAGCAGTTTGCGAACGCAAATCTGTCGAATCCAGGAATGTTTTTCTTTTTGGCATGTATAATAGAAAACACCTCATTCTGCTGTTTCCTAGCGCCATTTCACGAGTTCATGTGCTACTGAACATCATTTAACTGTTTATAGTTATGCTCATCATCTAAAGTTTTCCCTTTTAAGCATCATTTGATTGTTAAACGCTTATAAGCTTCATGCTGTTTTTACTTCCTTGCATGAAGTAAAAAGGAAGTATTGTAATCGCGAAACATTTCGGGTATCATATTTCAACGAAAATATCCATTTTGACCGCTATCCAACGCAATTTAATTATGTCTTTGCGTGACATCAGCAAGTAAGAACAGAATAAAGGACTCTTTTTTTCCCCCAAAAAAATTATAAAACCGATTTAAAATGAATTCTAAAGAGAATTTTTCGTGGCGTCTCTGCGTACGTACGCATGTACGTATCTTGCATAACTCAAAAACGAGTAGCTTCAGAACGTTGAAATTTTGTATGTAGGACTGCCATAACATGTAGATGTGCACCTCGTATTTTGGTTGCAATCGGCCGCACCAAACGTATATAAATATATGTATCTATATATCCACTATGTTACTCGGCTGGGCTCAGTTTCTTTATTCTTATATGTTTGTAAGTTGTGCAATTTTTGCTTTAAAATTGATTGAATTATATTGTTCTTATCTTCCCGTTAAAGTTTTTATGCCTTTAGGAAATCTGCATTCAATATTTTTGGGGTTATCAACAATTTATAAGCGCAGCTAAGCCTAATGAATTTTGCGATGGTGGACATGTTTGTTTACATTTTAAACTTGGCAAAAAAGCGGATTGTTGCCTATCTAGAGAAACTAAGCTTCGCAACAACAAAGATAACGCATTCTTTTCTTATTGCGAATTTAATCGTGCTTAATCCATTCTGGAATTTTTTCGAGGAAATAAGTGTTTCAGATTTACTTTAATTTTTAATATAGATATTTTGAGTTTTTATGTATTTTTGCCTTGTCGAGAAGTGAGAACTGAATTAATAAATGAGAAATACTGAATCGTCTATGGAAAACAGTTTCTTTTTTTTTAATTTCTTTTACACATCATTTAGATTGATTATAGTATTTGAATAGAACATGTGGCAATGATTAGATAATTTTTCAGATGATATAACTTTTTATGCATTCTGAGTTATAATATGGACGAAATGTAACGTTGTTAAGGGATGCTAGCACCAGAGTTTCTCTATGGTAAAGAAATAAAGTGAATTTTAAAGAGTGCATTTATTCTATTGTGGTTTATCCGCTATCTACGAAGTAGATTTAATTAAATCCAATAAGTTTAAAAGAAAAAATGCGTATAATTTAATTCCGTGCAAGGAATTCATGTGGTGTACATATCAGATTTTTTAAAATTAATCATTGATGATTAGATGTGATATAATGTTATAATTAATTTTATTAACCTGTTTTATATATTAACCTGATTTATATTACTTTCTGAGGCGAATTTGAATAGATGAGAGTATTCAAGTTGTTATACTTCTATTTAATCTTTTTAAAATTTTTAATGTGCTTAAATTTCCATTATTTGTCTTTAATCATTTTATGTAGCATTTTAATCATTTTATAAAAATTGTCCTTTCATAAAAATAAATAAATAAAATAATATTGTTGCATCTTCCAGTTGGCAAGTTTCTTACTAAAAAGGAAGACCTAAAAGAGCTTCTCCTTCTAACCACTGACTATTTTAATTCATTTTGTCTTTTAATTGCAGTCTCTTCAAAGTTGTTCTCTCCTCAATATATTTACAAGCTGAAATAAAAATAAAACAAAGTGTAAAATGTATGATGTGGAAAGGAAATCTCTTATGATCCACGTTAGGTAGTAAAATGCATTTTAAATTTTGTATGAAGTAGACTTCAGTAGCTTTTTGGATAATTACGTATTATCCTGTCGACCATGAAAGTTAGCGGAGATCGCGCCAAAGTTGCTTTAGTCATTCTTGCAGAATTACGAATCTCAGTTCTGTCTACTGTTCTTACAATAAAACATTCGTCACTCTCTCTGAACTGTTCATGAAATACCCAATGCTGCCAAGAAATTTGACCAACTTCGTTTCTGTGTTGTGTAAAGATAGTTTCGTAGATTTATACTATTTCTTAGACTCTTCGATTTTACTTGAATCCCTCTTTACAATGCTATGATTAAAAACTTTCCTAAGTGATTTTGCCAATCTCTTGCTGCTTTCATCTATACTCAGCTATTCTTTTTCTCATTCAATACTTGTATATTCTCTCGATCAACTGTAAATGAACCGCAGTGCAATGATAAATACGGTTGTACATCGATCGAAGTCTTAGGGTAGTTCTCCCCTCTTTTTTTTTCACTTTATCGCCCGAAAATCAAGAGGAGAAAATAACGCGAATAATTTAATTACCAAAAGACACAGCTACAGTGATAACATAACAAATGAAATGTAGTCATTTATAATATAACAAGTATATTAACGAATATTATGTTCATATTTTTAACAGCTCTCACGGAACTCTTTGAAGAAGAAGGGAACAAGGCTAGGACAACTCAGCCATCAATTCGTTCCAGTACAGAGGGTACAATAAATGAGAACGGCATGAACCCCGATAATAAACTTTGCTACTGCGAATACAATAGCCCAAATGAGCATTTGGTAGCTTATTGCGAATATATAAAATTACATAATGGAGATAAAGTAAAGTTCAACTGCACTGTAAAATTTTTCTGCAAGGAAGCAGAATATTACCGTCTGAGAGGTCCCAGAGAAATGACTTGCACAAACTGTCAGCCTTTTCGTTCGACCCAGTACCCCAAGTGTATGGAGCGAAACCGCAGTAAGTGTTTGTTATGTAAATCAATTCAAATTTCAGATTATTGAGTTTTTTTATGCTACATCTAAGCAGGAAGATGAATTGAGAAATAGTGGAGAACTCCCTGTTATCCGATTAACCAAATACCCGCAAATGTATTTGAGTTCTCGAGCTAAATTTTGACAAATTTGGCGTCAAATTTCTTTTTTTCAACAAAAATTCGTAAGCGAAACAAAGCAATACAATTCCTCATTCCACGCTGTCAATTGTTTAAGTACTTGTATACTAACTTCTCTTCATTCAGTCGTCTTTTATTGACATCCAAAATAGATTGATGAAAATGAAAAGTGATCGGTGAAGATAAGAAATTTACTGGAACACAGAAATAGAAATAATCTCTTAATTTACGAAGAAAAGTCGTTAATTAAATCACAAACCGGGCATGATGTATTCGAAAATAATAGCTGGTATTTCCTGTGTACGTTAATATTTAGTAGAAATGTTCTAGTTCGTTCGGTACAGGTCAGTTCGACGCCAACGGTTCGACGCCAGCGTTTCGAAGCGTGGTCAATTCGACACGACGTTCAATTCGTTTCGACGCGAGCTCAGTTCGACGCCATACTTTTTTTGCTTTTGTTAGACGCCATATTTTTCGTATTTTTATTTTTAGAATAAGTTTTTCATCAAAATAAATTTGGTGTCATCATCATTTGGTGTTTCACACCCCCATTGGGAATTCATAGATGGCTCAGGCGTGTTCAAAATTCAATTGATCAATTACGACATTTGTACGTGGAGATGAACCGCCACAAGCGGAATAGGATCTGCGAGCTGGATGAGAATTAAAGTAATAGTTGAAGATTTTGAAAATCGAGAAAATAATGGATACCTGAAGGTGGTGGCGCATATTTTGCAATGGATTAGTATAATAACAGTTCTGTGATGTAATCTTATTTATCTCTAATTTATGTGGCAATCTTATTTATCTGCAATCTTATTCATCTGTAATTATATTGTTGCAATATAATAAACTACTTTGTAAACCATATGTTTATTTACCATTTGTATTTTGCCCTTTTGATGCGTTTGTTAAATAAAAAATAAAAAAAAACCTCCCACATGTCCGCGGCCTTGACGTTGGCGACGGGGTTTCTCACTAATCTGGGACAGAAACCAAAATCTAGAACATTTCACACATATACACACATATATTTATTTCAAATATGCATGCAAATAAAACAATCGCTAATTCAATAAATAAAAAATCGTCATATTACTATTATATTATTCATATTTATTCTAAAAATAAAAAAATACGAAATAAAATTATGGCGTCGAATTGCCTTTGCGTCGAAACGTACGGCGTCGAACTGCCCCGGCGTCGAAACGTTGGCGTCGAACCGTTGGCGTCGAACCGTTGGCGTCGAACCGTCGGCGTCGAAACGACCCGCTTCGAGTTCGTTACTAGAAGTTCGAACACTCCCTTATACATTCGTTCTAGAAATCCTTTCCTGGATTTCGATAATGCTGGACATTTGCGAACTATGTCGCTAGGTTTTTACAATATTCTTGATTATGGAAGGAAGTGCAGAGATGATGGATCATCCAAATGTGAGTGCGACAAAATTCCCTCAGACAACCGCAATCATAAAAGATTTTTCGATGAGTTTACTACTTGATTAGAAGAACAGGTTTTTATTCAGGTAAAAATATTAAAAGATTAAAAATGTTTGTGAAATCAGATATTTTGAATACATAATTATCATTATTTATTCCATAAATCCAATATAAATTTCAAGATATTTTGCTGTTAATAGTATGATCTTTATGCCGTGTGCTATTCTTTCACATAAACACTTGAAAATAAATTTTAATATTTAATTAGGATAATCATTCATAATTTAATTTAATTTAATTTTTTTTCTTTTATTTACCACAAAAGGCATTTTCAATGATTCCAAATAACGTTCCTTTTCAGATAAATGTTTTTTTTTCCTACTGCTTAACGAGCCTTGCCTGATTTTGCCTTTTTAGTTTTGAAATAGTAAGTTGATTTCATTTTGCAGTCGAACTCCGTATAACGAACTACGTCCAGCAACCTGAAGTTTGTTTGCGATATCCGATCCGATAAGAAAAGAGTATCTCACAGAAATATGTAAAAATTGAGTGTTATATCAAACACAAAAAAGTAATTATTACTAAAAGAAGTTAATAGTAAATCTAATTTTAAAAAAATTATATTAAGCTTAAATTTAATTATTATTACGCATAGTCGTTAAATTTGTTGGTAATTCTTATTAACTCTTTCGCATCGAAGTCGCCCTAAACGCCCAAACATTCAGACATCGGCTGGACGCCCGAAACGCCTGAATAATTTCCTACCCAGTGCATTCCCCCATCACGTTACTGCATTACTCATTGCTTTCAGGTGTTGTTAAATCACTTGTCAATCATTCTTTTGAAGCTACTAAAAGTAGCTTCCTTGTTTCCTTTGTTTACTGTCAGTGTTTAGCTTTTGATGCCCGAAGTTGCAATCCCGTCCCAAGGGGGAACTTCACACAGTGTCCAAGCGTCGAAAGAAGTTCTCGCTTTACTTAAGTAAGGTTATTGTTGGCGCTGTAGTATTCAACTGGTCATGGGGGAAGGAAAAGCATTCCAAGAGAAATTCTTAGATACGGGCGTTTTCGATGTTTGGGGAATTGAGATTTTGCCCTCTCTCGATGCGAAAGAGTTAAATTTCACTATAATAATTTTAATGATGAAATATTTAGCATAAATTTCATTGTTTTGATCCTTTCTTCCGTTTATTTTTTTTATCCATAACAATGTAGAAACGCCAAGAAAGAATAACTAAAAATATTGGCGGATTTATCTTTAACTTAACTTCTGGGCAGAAAATAATCTATAATTTTCTGCTGGCATGATACAGATCACAGGAATATTTTACCCATGTTTTCAAAAAAAAATATTTAATAGCATTTATAAAGAATATCCTATGTCCTGGCAAAATACCTGTAAGATTCTTAAGTGTTTTAATCTATAGCTAAAGTTGAGGAACCTTAAGAACTGATAAGCGAATTGAGTTCCTGAGACAGAGAACAAAACGTGAGCAGGATTAAATTATATTCCAAATAAAGTTTAACAGATGACTCCTTTCTCAAGACGTACATAAAACTTGGGCTTGAACTCAAGAATACTAAGAAATAAAACTTAATTAATGCTTAAATAAAATGATATAGACAGAGCTATCAAAATTGTACAGGAGTTGGCCCCTTAAATGCTAACCAAACGGCGAAGCTATCAAGGGCCTGAAATACGGCCGAGCGTAGTAACAGCTTAGAGAGTGTATAGCCAAAAGGCGAAAGCGATGGTCAGAAGCGATGGCCTCTAACGAAGTCAGTAGAACTTCACAGTTAAATACTTCTCCTCGTTTGCATTCAAATGCGATTGTAAAAATACGTTCTGACCGGAAGTTGAAAGTTGAAATTCAGGAATATAAGAAAGTAACTTTTAACTAAAGATTAACTGTTAGAAAAATTAACATAAACCGTACGGACCTAACAAACGCAAAACCCTTATTCGAAGGCTATGACTTGTAAAGCATTTACATTCAAACAAACAAACAAAAAAAGGATAACGTTCAAACTTTCATTCCCTTTGAGATGAACCAACTGCACAGTCCCAAGCTAATATGATTCACTACTTCCTCTTTAACTGAATAGCGTAAATTTCGAAATTTCCATCATAACATCAAACAATTTGAATTTAATCAAAGAACAGATTCATCTTCTTTGGTTCAATGGTCAGTAACAGCGAATGGTGTCTTAAAATATACTTATTGTGCTAAAATTATACTCCTAAAATTGTCTAGAATATAAATCTTGCAGATCCTTTATTTAGAACGCAGAGAAAAGTGGGAATGGAGATACATGAAAAGCAACGTAAATCTATTTTCCTTTACGAACGGAATATGAATCCTAACATTCTAAGCGTGGAAGATCTTTAACGTTAATGATTTAAACTTGCATAAATAAAACTTTAACGTTAATAATTTAAACTTGCATAAGAAAAAATATTTAAAAAAAAGTTTCAGTCGAAAACGTCCGTACAATTCGTTATATCCCCTTTTCATACCTTTGGAGAGTCACTGTATTAGTATAAAATAACGTCTAGTTCATAGGAAATTATACAGCACAGAAAGGTTTGTTTGTTATAACCGAAGGTGCCTTATAAGCCGGGTTCTTCTGTATTCAAATTAAGGGTTCTAATTCAAAATTAACGAATGTCATATTTTTAATCTGTATCTTCAGGAGAACCATGTTTCATGGAAACTCTTTTCTCTCGACTTCCGGAAGGAGTAATGCTGAAAACGGAAGAGCGGCAGCCTGAAACTGTACCATATGGAACGAGTCTTGAACTGACTTGTGCTCGTAATGATGAGAGGATGATGCATATAACCAGTTATAGGAATATGGCCATTTGCAATGGAACGTGGATAGTTCCTCCAGTTCGTTGTAAGTTTTGTTGATACTTTTACTGATTAGATACCCCTGTTAAAATTGCTAAGAACTAATTATTTTTCGCTCATTTTAATCCCTTTTGATCAACATTTTCAGTCTTGTGAGTTGCAGCATTTATGTTATTGCCATCTGAAATTCTCATGCACTATATCCACAATGTTTCTTTATTTTCGCTACCGTTGGTCAACCGTTAGACATATAAATCCAATGACGAAATATTTAAGTACGAAATTAATGACGAAAATATTTAAGTATTTTTAATTTTAAATATAAGAAAAAATTGATATGAAATACGAAATTCAACATTTTAAATGTTCTTTGAGTCCCTATTCAGGAAAAGTTTGAACTTGTTACAAAAAATCAAACATAGAAAAGTTTGATCCCTGTACTGTAAAAAATGGCCTAGACATTTGGAATTAAAAACAAGAATCATAGTTCGAGGCCGTAAGGTCAATCGAAAAGCGAAATATTTGAATTTGTAGGTAACTAGAAATAAAATATCGCTAAGGAAAAGTTTTCTGATGAAAGGGCATTTTCTGCGCAGATTAATGTGAAAAATATTGGTCGATATAAGTTCAGAATGGATATCTTCTTCACAGAGTCTTACAGAACTGACACTGTAGAAAACACCGGTAGGCTTCAGTGTTGGTACGTAGCCAACTCGTATTATTATTTCCATTAATTAAAAATTAAACATTTTTGTACTTGATGAGTTTTTACGATGATTATGATTCTAAAGTAATAATATTATTAGTTTTCGAAAATTCATAAATTACTTGTGTGAAAATTCTTTCAGCGTAGAAATCTGACAGCATTATTAATAAAGATACTAGTAAATCACAAAACAATGTCACCGAATAATATTAAGGGGGGAAATCAACCTCAAGTTATTCTAATGTCTTTCCCAACCGATGCCTCAAAGCATATTCAAGTATCGCACATTTTGAAGTTAAATATCTGGGTCAATTGTTGTCGTAGTGAAATAGTTTAAATTTTATTTTTAAAACTAGTACAAATTATCCTAAATTTAAGTATAAGGACCAGTAGAACATATAAAACGTTAATTTCGTATTTTAAAGGAAATTAACCTTTATTCCAAATTTAAAAATACGAAAATGGGAATCTTTGCGTATATGAAAGCATTTTTGCAATTGGAATTTATGTCTAAAACAAATGATTGCGGAAATAAAAGCCATATAATATATTTTATAGGACTCGGTGGATAAAGCTAAATATAATTCTGGTTTTAGAATAAGCTGGGAGGACAAATAAATGTAAGGGCATTTCCTCTTGAAAGAGCTAGCGCCAAGATGAAGAATATGCTACCTTATATGCCATTTCTTGTGGCCTTTTAAAATTCTTTCACTTTCGTTAGTATATTCTATTCGCCTTTTGTCAATTCACTTTAATCTTAAAATGAACATGGCTTGAAATGCCAACGTGCGAAAAAGATTCAAGTGAGTAAACCTACTTGATTTAAGGCCGCAAATAAAAACATTAGTAAGTCATAGCAACTACTTTGGTTTCTGTTATACTCATGCCGCAATTTTCTTGCAATTCTAGAATGGTAGTTAGTTGTTCAGCCTAAAAGGTGTAACAACCCATTCCACCTAGCGGCTACATAGATTTATGATTTTTTTTTAAATTTCTGTGACTGTTTAGCCTATCAATCTATTAGATTTGAAGAAATATTTTGAGAATAGTTATATAGCAAAATAAAGAACAAAAAAACTAAATATCTTTAACTTTTTTTTATTTTGAAGTATATTTATAATAGAAATCATAGCTACGAAAATTCCCGAAACCTGAGCAAATGGAATACATATCGGCATTTATTGTTTGTCTTTAGCCTAATTACATCGCGTCCATGATTTGCAGTTGGTTGCTAATTTGTTCTTTACATGATAAGCTGCATTTTGAAATACATCTGATTAAAATTTCTTGAATGCAATCTTTTTTTATTACCATGAAATGTTAAATATGACAATTTGGTTAATATATAATGAGGCTTTTAAAGGAAAAAAGGTTTTTCATCCTTTGTCGAATCTTTAATTGTACATAACACTACAAATAATGGAAAATTTCCCTTATTATATTAGTTATTTCTTTCGATTTAGCTCTAGTACTAAAGGTAACTCGAACTAAATAAGCGTAGAAAAAAGCTCAATCATTAAAATATTTATTGGTTGGCAATTTGTATAATTTAAAATTCTGCAAGCTTCTTACGCTTAAGCGATGAATAGCTTAACTCTCATCGAAGACTAATCATCGAAACACTGAATTGAACTCCATTTACTGAAGAGATCCCAAAAACTCCCAGAGGCTAAGTTTATCGTCATACATCAGTCAACATTTCAGCACATGTGTAGTGGCACAGTTGGTAAACGTAGCATCCAGCTACTATCCATGCTGTCGTGTCGTCACTGCGAGTTCTTTTATATTGTTTACCTTTGCATATTATTAGAGTGATAAAAGTAATTCAGATAACTAAAGAAAAAAGGAAGAAAAAAATAATGAAAAAAAAAAAAAAATCTGAAATGTTTCAGATTTTAAATTACGTCCAAAGGGGCGTTTTTTAACATTTTGTGTGTTACCTTTATTTATTAAACATCATGTTCCTCGCACTTAAATTATCAAATTTAAGAGCAGTGCAACAGCAATGTCGCAAACTAGTTTTAAAACGAGCAATATCTTTAGAATTTCCGATACAGAGACTCGCGCGCTGGACATAAAAATGATTTTTCTGCACTGTACGGTGTTGCCATTGCTCGCTTTGAAATCGCTTGAGTTTGTTAATCAAAAACCCGTCAAATGCTTTAAAAACTATGAAATCGATCATAAAACAAATTTCAAATTTCCAAATTTGGCTTCCACATACCTCATATTGAGGTTGGAGGATTACCGTTTATTCAAAATTTCGATGAGCTCTATGTATCGTTGTTTTATCACAATGCGAGAAATATACACACATTTACGCAAATTTTCATTATTTAATTTCTTCAAATATAATGCAGGACTCTAACATTTTATGGCAACAGTTTGAAAAGTGAACCGACATTTATCCGTCCGACGCAAAATGCCAAAACGAAACTAATAGTCCTTCGGGATTCAAATCCCTTTGGACTAACAAATCAATTTAAAACTGTATCAGGTTAACTGCAATCAAAATAAGTTTCTCCAAACGAAACGTTCTTAAACGTTTATGGTTGTCTTGTTCTTTATATTGATTATGAACGGTTATATAAGTATTATTTGCGGATACTTTTTGTTTTAAACTGCAGTTTCATGATTTAGTTTCGAAAATTATAAGTTAAGCTTAGTTTATTTCAATTTAATCCCGAATAATCTTTCACACACGTAAAGAAAATCATCTGAAAAATTCTGTAACTAAATTTTCTAGTTTATTGATTAGGTCTATGATAAAATTTAATATTTTGTTACAGTCTGAAACACTACCTCTCCGAGTGCTTGTTGTCTATTATTCTATTGCCATTACTTAAGTTTTAGTTTTGTGCTCTCGTAAAGACAGCGTATCTTAATTCTGAACATATTTTGTCTAATTTGCAAACGAAACAAAATGGACTTTTATGTAGATGAAGTTAAATACACTCTTTTGAAAAAAAAAAAAAAAAAAACCCACCATAAAGGAAGTGGTTGTTTTTGATGAAATTGAATATGTGTATAGCTCATACACAGATAATAAAATGATTTAAAAATCAAGGTCATAGTACCTGTTCACGGCTCGCAATCACCCATTGAGTGTTCAAATTAATAGTTGGTAGAACCGCCCCTTGCAGCAATGCATGCTTGAATTCGTCGAGGCAAGGAATAGTAGAGGTTTCTAATGTCATCCTGCGACACATTCTGCCAGGCATTCATCAGTTGTCGCTCCAGATCTTCGATATTTTGTGGGGTCCGAATCTGGCGACCTACCATGTCTCAGACATGTTCGATTGGTGAAAGGTCTGGTGATCTTGCTGGCCAAGGAAGAGTCTCGACCGCACGGAGACAGTCCAGAGATATGCGAGCGGTATGTGGAGTGGCATTATCTTGTTGGAAAATGGCCCCAGGATAACGTACCATGAAGGATAATGCAACCGGCCGCAGGATGGTATCAACATATTGTTGAGCTGTTAAAGATATGCGGAGGATGACTAGACATGACCTGCTGTCAAACCAAACAGCGCCCCACACCATCACACCAGGGGTTATGGCTGTGTGCCTTTGTAAAACAAAGGCTGATTGGGACCGCTGGCCACGTCCTCTCCAGACACGAACACGGTGGTCATCTGCTTCAAGAGTGAAGCGGGATTCATCGCTGAACGCTATACGAGGTCAGTCTGATGGCAGCCATCATGATCGGCTGCGACGTCACTCCAGAAGACTTCGCCGAGGTTGTGGGGTCAAAGACAAACGTCTTAAAGGCCTTTGTGAGCGTAACCCCTCCTCAGACAAGCAAGCGCCGTGAGATGGTGGATGGTACCACGGGAGTTATAGACGTGGCTGTAGTGCGTTGAATAGTCGACAATGATACCGTTGGGGCGGTTCGGACCTGGAGAACGATCATCCTATCTTGCTTCGCATTTGTGCTCCTTGCCTTTTCAGAGCCCGCATTTTGTCAGCAATTTCCTTGTAGCAACCATTGCTACCAACATCTTTGCACAGCAGTGTCTGTACGCTGCATGTGGCGGCCTATTGCTCGGTATGACCACCCAGCTTCACGCAACCCTACAATGCGACCACGTTCGTGAAGTTGTTTACTTGTCTGTAAGGTCTTCGATATCGTCGTAATGGCATCTTTAGTTGATTCTTTACGGAATACTTACGGAACAATGGCAGCAACAAAATAAAGATACATTTTCTGCCTCTTTTACTGGTTTTATACTTTGCGAATTGCGCACTAGAAATACGCTCTATGATCGCAATTCTTGTTCATTTGTCTTGAAACTTAGATCATTTGCATGTTCTATCAAAATGTTTTTGCCTACCAAATTTCGTTACGATCGCAAAAGTCCTTCTTAGTGCTTCGTTTTTTTTGCAAAAGAGTGTATATCCGAAATATTCTACTCTTCGAGTTAAACTGGAGATTCAGAGAAGCGAAACCAGTTTATCTTCCGTGCGAAAATTGATGAACGTACGGAAATAATACGGTTCTCTCGGTTCTGGGGAAAACCATTTAACTAATCTAGCGATTCACTTTCTGAAATAATCCTGAGTTTTTGTTTTGAATGCAATTTTAACTGTTTTGTTTGTTGATTTGAACTGTTTTTAATGCGATTTGTTTATCCTTTAAACTTCGAACTTCGTTTGGATCAGTAGATTTTCGGGAATACGCGTCAAAAGAAATTGAATCAGCACAACTTATGGAACATAATTACTCAACTAATGTACATAATTCCCATTGGATGGGTGAGATTAACCATAACAAAACGTTACAAATTGATGCGCAGATTCAGAATGGTTTAAAAGACTATGAATGATATCTTTGCTTGCGTATACCTGAGAAAAGCCTTTTTCATTGCAGATGCTAGAAGTATCGACCATTTTCTTGAGGAGGCATGTTTAGCCATTTACAAATATATGTAGAAACTCACAGGGAACCATCTCGGAATGAAAATGCACTAGTGTTTTTCGTACTACAGTTCATAGTTATTTCATAATTTACAAATATAAGTTTCTGGTTTTTACATTTCCTTTCGCTTCCTAAAATTTTAGCAAAGATAACGAGGCGTGAAGAAAATTACATTTATAAAGCTACAGGATTATATTTTGGTAGTATTATTGCTGCTGTCTATAGGAAACTGCATGCAGCATTTTAATGTAGCTATATTTATCTTTTATGCATTCTCAAAATCGTATTGCTTAACTATCAAAACTTATGATCAGAGCAAAAACCAAGGCAATATGTGAGTCTAAAGGTATTCCAAGCACTGAAATCGGCATTTAACTGCTCAAGAAGTAACTAAGAGTAGTTGAGTAATGAATGGATACAAGTACCATCTGCAGAGAAAGTTAATGGATTTTCATGGTCGTTCAGACCATGGAAAACGGAGAAGAAATTAAATTCTCCAAAAGGAAAACTTCAAAAAAAGAAAAGTATCCTTAATTATTCTTTTAGCTTTAAACCAATTGAGTTCACTTTTTTTAATATATCAGTAATAGCATATTATTATGCAACCTTTACACAGCATAATGTGTAATTCAGTGGATTTAATTTGTATTTTCTAATTATAGGTATATTTTGCCACCGTTAAAAGAAATGAAATTATATACTTTTGAGGGGTGTTTCAAAGCTAACTTTTTAAAAAGGGCAAAATCTTCTCCCTCCGTATTCCTACTTCAGTCTTTGGCTCAGGTTCTTTAAAGACGCGAGCAAACAGATTAAAGCAAAAGGTCAAAGCCATTTCATGTAAATCTAAGAATTGGACGTATATAATTCGTAGGAGGTCTGCGGTCGCTGTCAAAATTCTCTCCTAACTTCCAGACCTCTGTTCTAATGTGCATTAATTAATTTGCATCCAGTTAGCGACAACAGAAGCAAAGAATATAAATAAGACGATAAATATAAAACACTACATAATAGATGAAACAGACAATAATCATGTTCAAATTCTATTATTTTATAAATAAATACAGTCAAAAGTCGTTAATCCGGACTCGTCGGGACTTCGGCGATTCCGGATTATCGATTTTTCCGGATTATAGATCATCAGTTTAAATCTCGTAAGATGGCATGCAGAATTAAAAATATGAAACCGTAATTTATGAAATAAAGAACAATTATGATCTAAAGGGTATCAAAATTTACAAAAAAAAAAGCTTAATATTTATTTGTTTACTTTATTAAACATTTCTCTCAATGTAAGTTGTTTAAGTTGCTTCATTTTATGTGATAATACTTTCTCTTTAATTCTATAAAAAGACATAATTTTCTTGTTCAGTTACAAAGTTCCGCCGCTGTTCAAGTCCCGTTAATTTAATTGCTGTGCCGAGAATACCGACTAACTTGTCAATCGAAATTTTTTCGTTTTCACTAACCTCTCTGTCACATTCTTCATGTCTTTATCCATTTTTTGCAGCAATTCCACTTTTTGTTTGTTTGACACATCGAAACATACTTTCGTTTGTAGATCCTTTGGAAGTTCCAGCATCGGAAATTCTATTTGACATAATCGAAAGTTCAAGTTTACTTTTATAAAATTGCTCTTACAGTCTGCAAAAAATAATAAGCGGGATCCAATTCGAAGATTAAGGAACAACGCAATCATTAGCATTAACTGAAATAGATAATTAGATAATTTTAGCTTACACCGTCCGTTATACATTAAACGCGCAGGCGAAAACGTATTCTGCACTTGCGCACACGCATATGCGCAGTAGTCAAGGTCTTACGCGCACGCGCAAAATGCCTGTGCGCATGTGCCAACGCGGCGCATGCGCAGAAAGTTTTTAGCTTTGAGGTCCGGATTATCGAACATTCCGGATTATGGGTGTCCGAATTAACGACTTTTGACTGTATATGTTTTTACAACGTTGCTCTGTTTCAATAACCTAACTTTCGCAATTTCATGTTACGTAACTAAATGTCTCTCTCTGTATGTGTGTTAACCATGATTCCGTTAATTAAGTAACTACATATTTTACTGGTTTATTTCCGTAGGTAATCGTCCATGCCGTCTGACCTTGAAAGCAAATTCTTCACTTATAGCATTACCTAAGAAAGATTTATATTTATATGGAGAAACTGTAGCGCTTTCATGCCCTAAGGGACAAGCACTGACTCCAGATATTCGTATAATGTTTTGTTTCAGGAGAGGTTGGTCAAGGAGACGAATTCCAGATTGCGAAGAGAGGTAAATGAGGCAACATGTATGGAATTTGCGTTTATAACTGTTATTTAAAATAAATATTCTGAAATTCCTAGAACGAATCTTTTCAGTGTTTATTAATTCAGCTATTTTAAATAAAACCATTTGAAAAAATTATCTATTATCATGCGAACAAAAAAATGCTTGTTTAGTCTTATCTCTCAATGTTCTTTATAACATTACTGAAATATTGCATTCAAATTATATGGAATGTTATATTTTATCTTATAACTTATCAGAAAGAACGTTTTTTTAACCAATGCACTTTTGAAAATATGACAGACATTCATAAGAAATAATCTGCATTTTAATCTTATAATTTTAATTTTATATAAGTACAAAAAAATAACCTGACTAACTGAGACATCCGGATTTCGGAAAGTATAGATAATTATCTATCTTCTGTGTTCCAGTTATGGATTTAAATGTATTGCAAATACAGGAATTTTGCATTTTTGTTGATCCTGTTTTGTTACAATAAAAATTATAGTAATACATTAAACTACACTGTAAACTTGTAAGGATCTTAAGTTTTACTAACGTTTATTTTATTTTAAATCTTTACTATCACTTCTTATTTTCTACTTCCGGCCAGAATTAAAAGCTTTAACTTATTTATGCAAATTTGTCTTGCGAACGCCAAGTACTTAAGTTGTGGCTTTTTGCCAAGCGAGAGAGAGGAAGGAGGAGTTAGTCGAAGCAGGCCGCTTACCTTAGAAGTTTTACTCAGTTGCTGGTTGCCTTCCAGGCCAGAGGTTTAATCCTCTTGATAATTTTAAACGTATTGTAGTGTTAACAGTTCTCTGTACTACATACGGCTTCCTGTTAATATAACGGCCAATCTTCACGTCCACTTGTTATTATTCCAAAGTTAAGTTAGAGTTTAGTTAATATTTTTATATTCTTACGTTCAGACCACAAGTAGTTGGTCTCTGTATTCCGAAGTACGGAAATTATTGTAAAGAGAGAAAAATAAAGGGTTTTGTATACCCTTCCTGTGTATCCTGTCTACTTCCCACAGTTATTGAACATAGCTTTAGTAAGCTCTCTGTTCCGAGTCAGGTCCTTGCATGTTCCCAAAGAAAGTAAGGACGGAACATTGAACCTGATAGTGGCGCCCCAACGAAGAAGAATAACCATGGCCGAGTTTCAAGAAGAACCTGTGCTGCCTGCAGAAGCGGCTCAGAATCCAGAAATGCCAGCTGCCGCCCTGGAAGGATTTGGTTACATCGTCCAGACCATGCGCGCTTCGATGAAACCAGAAGCAACATTTAATGGAAACTCACCGGTAACCAGTTTTTTGGAAAAATTGGATGACCACTTCATGCTCTACCCCGTGCACGAGTTTCAAAAAAGTTACCTTAGCTACCAGCGCTTTGAGGGGCCAAGCGCTTAATTGGTTCAAATGTATAGGCAGAAGTCTCTTGGGTCAAGCAGGAAGTCCCACCTATACTTACGAAAATTTCAAGACTGCCCTAGTAAAAGCCTTCCCTGTCGTAAGGGATCGTGCGAAATTAGAAACGGAACTTTTCAGCATATATCAGCAAAGAATCGAAAATCTCTCAAGCTTTATTTTAAGAAAAATTCACGTCTTCAAACTCTTGTATGGAAACCGTCCGGATCCTGAGATAATTCAAGTGATTTTGCCGAGGTTACTTCCCCAAGTGCAAGACTTTATTGAATTAAGAAATCCGACTACACTGGAAAAGTTATTTGAGCTAGCAATCCAGTTTGAAAGTAGAAGAACGGCGGACATTGAAAGAAGACGCCAATATCAACAACGAAACCAATTTGGTGCGCCAAGACCACAGCAAACTCAAACACACGGCTACGGAAGCAAAGCGAATCAGTGGGCAAGGAAACCCGAGCATTCAAAAACAGCCGGCGAACGTCGACAGTTCAATAGCAATCCAGGAAAAAAGTCTCAAGGCCAGTGGAAAAAGAAGGAAAGCACGGAAATGAAAAAAAATTTAAACTAAAACGGATTTCTGCTGACGGGAGGGTGCGGAAATCCGAAGGCCAAGAAAACCCCTCTTCCTTCAAGTTAAATACAGTAATGGTGAAAAATTTGACTCTTCCGAAGATTGAAGTGTTGGTGAATAATATCCCAGCCACCGCACTCCTGGATACAGGCGCGCAGTGTTCCTGTGTGGCAGAAGATTTTTTTAGGAAGTATTTTCGTAAATATCGCATATATATAATTCGGATAATACGACAGTGTTAGCTGCGCAAGGAGAAAGATGTAAGTATAGGTAAATTACCGCTATATGTCCGTATCAAGGACGAACAAGTAAAGGTTATGTTTTTCATAGTAAAGAATCTGCAAGCACATATTATCTTAGGAATAGACTTTCTTTCAGAGGCACAAGCAACGCTGGATTTTAATGAAGCGTCCCTTAAGCTGACGATGAAACCAGTTCGTGGAGAAAAGGCTGAACCGCCGATGTTAAACCTTGACCACCTGCCTAATGAAGAGCAACGAAGAATCCGACAAGTGGTAAGTGAATTTGCTTCGTTATTTAGTGATATTCCAGGATTTACTCAGGTTACTAACCATAGTATTGACACCGGAGATTCAATGCCAGTTCGCCACAAAGCATACCGGTATGATAAGAATAAGGAAAAAATTATAGAATGGCATATCACCGATATGCTACGTAAAAAGATCATAACGCCCATCTCAAGTAGTTATGCTAGCCCGGTGGTTTTATGTAAGAAAAATAATGACTATCCATTGACACATCCAAAAAGGTGGCGTTTCGCGATTGACTATTCGTAAATTAAATTCCATAACTAAATATCCGGTATATATCCGTTTACCTATTATTGAAGAAATTCTAAGGAACATAAACTTCAATAACCAAAATATGACGACTTTTAGACTTTAACGACTGGTTATTTTCAAATAGGAGTTAGGCCTTTGGAGGAGCGGTGCTTTAAACAGCATGCTTTTTATAAGCAAGTCTTGGCACTAGATTGTACTCAGGGGAAAAACTTATCCCCAAGGTTAATAAGATGGGCACTCAAGCTACAAGAATATAATCTGGTAATCAAGCATACCCCCCGGAAAGGAAAATATCGTAGCAGATGCCCTATCCAGAATTAAAATAGATGAAGAAGGTAATACTGTAAAGGTGGCAATGCTCACAGCATGTACAATAAATTCCCGAGAAACTGTAATAACCGAACTGGGTAAGGATCCTGAGTTTGGAAGCATTTATGAGTATTTAAAGGATCCTGAAAATTTTAGCCACCAAGATATTGTGGCGATAAGAAATAGGGCGGCCCATTACGAACTAATAGATGGTCTATTATTTTATACAAAAACTACGAATTCCAACAACGAATTTCGACCTGTTATCCCAGCTAGTCTTAGATTAAATATCCTGCAGGAGCTCCATGACAGCCCTTTAGCTTCTCATGCTGGTATTCGAAAAACTATCCAACGCGTACGCGAGGCAGTCTATTTTCCTGAACTGCAAAAGTTAACAAGGGCGTATGTCCAGTCCTGCCCAACATGTCAAGCAGTTAATTATATTAATTTCCGCCCGGCCGGGTTTCTAAATAGTATTAAATCCGAATTTCCAAATGAAATAATTGGCATCGATTTATTGGGCCCTTTCCCAAAAAGTCAGTTAAATAAAAGTCGCTATCTCCTTGTTATGGTTGATCATTTTAGTAAGTGGACCGAAATTGTTCCCTTAAAACGAGCCTCCGCGAAATTAGTTACTGATTCTATTTTAAATAAATATATTTTAAAATACGGGGCGCCCCTAAAAGTTATATCGGATAATGGTCCTCAATTTGTAAGTAATATATTTGAAGACATGTGCCAAAAACTGGGCATACGTCATTTAAAAATGGTCCCGTATCGGCCGCAATCAAATATAGCGGAACGGGTCAATAGAAATATAGTGAAAATTATCCGTAGTTATGTTAAAAATTTTCATAAAAGCTGGGATAACTATGTCAATGAATTTGCTTTCGCCCTTAGGACCGCAAAACATGATACAACGGGCAAAACTCCTGCTGAGTTATTTTTAGGCAGAAAGATTATAACGCCGTTAGATAAATTATTTTATGTGCAACAAAGAGCCCCAGAATTTAAAATGGGTGATATAGAAAATTAATTAAAGAAGCAAAAAAGAATACTGAAGTAGCACAGAGAAAACAGAAGCTTTATTATGACATGAAACGACGGGGAGTAACTTATAAAGTAGGGGATGAAGTGTTAAAAATTAAGCATTCACTTTCTTGCCAAATTTTTTCCACAAGGACCATAGAAAATAAAACCGCCAAGAATGGTGAAACCTGCTCCGCAAACATTGATCAAATAAAACCCTACTATGATCGTAATAAAATGCAAATATTTAAAGATCTTTTGCAGGATCCGGCACGGCAGACACGGCAGGCACAAGCTCCAGAGGTGGAACAACGACAAGTACAAGGGCAAGCCATTAAGGAGGCAGGAGCAAGTGAAAAGAAAGTTTCCCCGTTGGAAAATTGAAGGTAACAAGAAAAAGAAGCCGTTCCACCGTCCAGAAAAGAGAGCTCACGAACACCCCCAGAATGAAGAAGGGACGAATGCAAAGAGAGCCAGGAGAAATGACGGCAACTATATAACCCGGCTCTAAAACGGAAGATCTACTCATCCGACAGGACTCTCCGCAGCAAATGTCGCCGAACTGCGGAAGGGCCACCAGCGGCGGAGGAAAAGTTACAAGGAAAATTTGAACGGCCAGCAACGAGAGGTCCAAGCAGGAACGCGAAGAGAAGTTCCCGGTTCCGCCAAGACCAGCTGCCATCAAACGGCCAAGACCACAGGCAGAGGCGAAAAAGAAGGTATTCAAGGGTGACCGAACTGGAAGGAAAAAGAAAGCTTCTAGAGGAAGGCACTGAAGGGCGAGCCCGCACAAGAAGGAGGATAAATCAAACACGAATCTTCGCTACCTTCCAGGACTGGGCAGAAAAGAATGTCCGAATATCACAAAGATAAGTAAAATTTTATGTTACTTTGCAAACTTAAGTTAATCTTTCATTCTTACTGCAAGTGGCAGATTTC